TATATTAAGCTTTAGCTCTTAAATGCATATGTCTATTAGCAGGGAACATTCTAAAGGGTGTCTGTTTTTCTTTGGTCTAAAACTTTCCTGTGTATAATAGAATATTCTTATTGTAGCAGATGACATTTTGATTTGTATTTGTCTTGCTTCAGTTGCTTCCTTTGTATTTATTTTAGCTTTGTGATTTCAGAAGTGGGACGAGCTTTAATGTGTCCTTTCTCTCCGTGACAAAACTTGGCAATGCTGCGAAGTCAGATTGTGATTGTATTAGTTACCTTCTTTATTTATAAAGTCAATGCCCTACTTTAACATTGATTAAAACTAAACAACATAATTAAAAAAAATAATCTTCCTGAATAAGATTTCTTTTTATCTTCAAACTTTATACAGTGTATGTATGTGTGCATATACATGAATGTTAGAATATATGAGTATTAACACATTTCTTCTCTTAGATAGTTTGCCAAATATTGTCTAGTTTCTGATTTCTGTGAATTTGTGGGTGGGAGTAAAATTGGTGTGTTGCAAAATGTTTTTTTTTTTTTTTTTTTTCATCCTGTGAAGCCAGATACAGATTATAATATGTCTGATTTGAATGTTTATTTCAAATCCGATCATGTCAAATCCATGGTTAAACTTGTAGTGACTTTTCAGAGGGCTTTATCTTAAGACGAATACCCTTAGCCAGGCATGTAAGATTGACGCCCATTATATATCTGCAGTCTCATTTAATACTACACTCAGCTGCACCATATGCATTTTATGTTACTCCTCTTTTTTCTGTTCTTGCAACCCATGAGAAACAACATGTCATGACTTAAGCCACAGGGTCTTTGCATGTTCTATTCTCTGTACCCAGATGCTAAAATATTTAACAGGCAGTAGAGCATAAGTACTGACCAATCAGAAATGACATGAGGTAGGGCAATATTCTAGAAGCCTCTTGCTGAGCCAGGCAGTAACCCTTTTGGTGGTGGATCCAGGGGGAGGGAGTGTTGGAGTTCTGGGGCAGCCTGGAGATGAGGTAGTAGTTGCTGGGAGTGTCCAGACTGTGGACATGCACAAGCCTATTTGCCAGATCATAAATCCATACCAAGTCCTTGTCTATACCTGGAGAACTTCTACCTTCCCTCACCCTACGACACAATACACACACTTGATTATGACATTTCTCCTTTTCTTCCTTTACACTCTATGTCCTCAGAGGAGCCTTCTCGACCCTTCCTGATAAGGACTATTCTCGTTTAGGCTTTCATAGAAATGTCTATCTCTCCACTATACCTTTCACAGTGGGCAATTTACAAATACTTTGTAATCATTTGAATGAGGTGTCACTCACCCTAGTTAATCTACTCCATGAGGGCAGGGATTATCAGCTTCCTGACAGCCCATCCCCATTTCCACCTCCCTCTAGAACTGTAATCCCAGCACCTAAGAGGTGTTCGATGAATATTTATTGGATGAATGAGTTTTCAAAAAGGGTTTTAGAACCTCTCTGAACATACTTATACTTTGTAAATGTAACTGATATACATATTCCCTTGGGAATGCATTATTGGGAAAAAAAATTTAAAGCTGTTACCCTCTTTATGCCTTTTTACATACTTTCCTGAAATAATTTTCAAATGAGGGCCAGACCCCATGCTGTGACTTACCTTTGATTCCAACAGAACTGCTTTTCACTCAGTTGAAGTCTAGTGCAAAGATTGAATCTCTTGATTTGATTTATTCATTGTTCTTAAAGCTCAGCAAGAGATACTGCTTGAAAGCCCCCTGTGAGCAAGAGTATTTAGAACATTGGAGCAACCGGTGATGGATAAATGGTGGTTTTACCTTCAAAGATTTTTCAATCAATCTAGTATTTATTTACTCCTTATCTTATTCATAGGAGTTTAACATTTTACTTTTCTATTTCAGTATTAGAACATATATTTTGTTCTCCATATGACATAGGGCAAAGCTTCATATATCTATTGGAATGCTTTTGATAATGATGATGATCATGATAATGGAGATACTACCATAGGATCCTTTGCTAGAATTTGTCCCCTTTTTTTCCCCTGAAATTCCCAAAGACGTATTCTTTTTACGTATTCTGCTATTTTGTTAGGCGTATTCTGTTATTTTGTTAGTACCAAATTCTTTACAGATTAGATTAAGCATATATACTAGTTAGCTATAACTTTCTCAAGGGAGGAAATACCAGTTCAATCAACATACTTCCTCAAGCCTTTCCAGTGGTCAAGTCTTACTCATTGTTTGCAGAATATAATATATGTTTCTGTCATTCCTTAGTTTCACGTGAATCTTAGACATATGTATCATATTAATGCATCTAACATTTCCCATATGAATAGTTGGCATTGCATTTTATTTGATGATTTAAAAAAATTCTTGGCTTTTTACTATGAGAGAGAGAGGGAGAGGGGAGAGAGAGAGAGACAGGGAGAGAGAGAGAGAAGAGACCCTTCTCATAATTTCTGGACCATAGTTTCCTTATATGCATGATCAGAAGGACATTATGGTTATGGCTGTCAGTTATAAGTTAAGTCTAATCTAGAATGATTTCAGTTTATCATTTAAGTTAATAATTGAAAATAACTATGAACAAAGGAAGTGTCACTGATTGAGCAGAAGAAGGAAGAAAGGCTAGGTATCTGAGACCCTTTGGTCCAAGTAGGGAAAATCAACCACTGGAAAGGCTTGAGCAATATAATGATGGATTGAGGTAGAATGTATGCCCCTCCCTCATAAACTTAAATTATTTAATAATTTTGGTAATCAGTCACCTGGGACCTGATGCTGTTAAAAATAGCACCAAAATATTTCAGTTTCCTATGCACAGTATGTTATTAAATGCATGTACCCCAGTCATATCCTCTGGCCTGTGTCACTTTAGTACACAAACCACTTTTAATTGCCAGCATATGCATTTCTTTACCTTCTTTTTTTTTTTTTTTTTTTTCTTTTGCCTCTGGAGGTATTTGCTTCTCCAGTATTAATTACCTAGTACTTCTGGGTAATTAATACTCCTTGGGAGTAGCCCCAGAAGTGACTAATGGAAGTTGAAGCATAAATACCCCAGCTCCCTTGGCTCCTGGGCAAGAATAACTTGGGGCAATGTAAGGATAACTTTAGAATGATCTGAGGCTGTTCTACAGGGGCTGGACTTAAGGAATAAACTCTAGATATCCACAATGGTAGGGGGCTTTAAATCTTACCCTTTATGGGCTGCCTTCCTTTCCCTGTCTCTTTTCCCTAGCCCCTGACTGTGTCCTTCACTTCCCAAGCAAACTATTAATATTTTCACTTGAATTGACTCTGCAGTGCTTGCATCAGGGGGGACCCAAAAGAAGACACACACAATTTGTAGTAAGGGGAGCACTGAGAAAATGTTAGAGATCTTGTGATGCTGTAAGTTGTTCACCTGCAGTTCTTAGAACAGTAATTCTCAGTTGTATTGCCACTTCTTTCAGCCTCCCAGAGATGTAGTTAGAGCTACAATTAATTCCTGGCATTCTAGTTGCAGTTTCACCTCTTCAATCCCACCCAAGAACATATATTATTTATAAATGGCGAGCACACAAAAACACTGTTACTATAGGAATGATTGATCGAGCATATTATTTTAGGTACATAATTTGCGAATTGTTACGCTGTTACTCTTTGAATTCTTGTTTGGGACACATTAAATATTTGATTGGATACACCACACATCAGGAACCATTCCATCCTTGAGAGCTTGAATCTGAAGGAGGCTGAGAATTCTCTCTTTGGCTCAGCGAAAACTGAAGTCAGCCCAGTCAGTAGCAGCTGCTGAATCAGAGAGCTGTTCTTTGCTACCGTAGACTTTAAAGTTATTAATTCCCCTGCTTGGAACCAGCTGAGTTTTAGTAGTCCAGAGAAGACCGTCTGATTGTAGGTGTGTGTGTGTGTCTAGCCTACTTGATCATTAACCATGCAGTTTAACTAGTTTCCAGTGGCCACTGAAAACGACACAAGAATTTCACGTAATGCGTTTCCTCTCAGGCAGCACATTCAAGTTTATGAAAATTCAAGACAGCAAAAAAGAAAATGGTTTCATTTGCAAGGTTCTCAGGCTGATCATTTTCCACCATTAGCATTTTTAATTCTGTTTCATGCAGCATGTGTCATTGGGAGCTTTCTGCGGTTGCCTGAAAAAAAAAAAGGCTTAAGATGGATATTGATGATACTATTTATAATTTGCATGCCTTATTAGGGATTCAGAAACTATGGAAAGTGGCATTTCAAGATATCTGCTTATTTGACTCTTACAGTTTTGCCAAAATGTTGTCATTAGAGAAAATGAGAAAAGTTAGAATTTTAGGTTAATGTTTTATTTGTTCCAATTATTATCTAGCAAAATTTTAATAATGAATGTATTGAAATTTAATATTTTAGTATTAGTGAACATTTCTAATTTCATAAAGCCACTTCCATATGCCTATCAGTTACATGTTTGTTTTTTTTAATTATCTACATTTTAAACATCCTCTATGTTGCATCAAAAAAGATTTGTGGCCGGGCGTGGTGGCTCACGCCTGTAATCCTAGCTCTCTGGGAGGCCGAGGCGGGAGGATTGCTCGAGGTCAGGAGTTCAAAACCAGCCTGAGCAAGAGCGAGACCCCGTCTCTACTATAAATAGAAAGAAATTAATTGGCCAACTGATATGTATATAAAAAAAAAATTAGCCGGGCATGGTGGCGCATGCCTGTAGTCCCAGCTACCTGGGAGGCTGAGACAGAAGGATCGCTTGAGCCCAGGAGTTTGAGGTTGCTGTGAGCTAGGCTGACGCCACGGCACTCACTCTAGCCTGGACAACAAAGCGAGACTCTGTCTCAAAAAAAAAAAAAAAGATTTGTTTCATCTGAGGCTTTGGAGTGTCCCTGAATGATACAGTTTTTAAGGAAAGAAGAAAATCTCTTTTTTAAAGCAGCTGGATTTTAAAAGTCTAACTTCTTTGTACATATATTTTACAGATTAAAGGATTTACCTGAAGACAAAGCATTCTATTCATCAGAGACTGGACAAGAGTTACTCTTGCTTTGGGCAATTAAAGATGATGTTGCCATGGAAACAGTTGATCCTGCTTTCATTCATTGGCTGCTTAAGAGGTAACAATACCCTGTATTTTCTAAGTTGAGGTTAGAACTATACTGGAGTCATATGCTTAAATAATTTTTAAATGTTGAAATAAAACCCTACCGATAGCAAAGTAAAACAAATCTTCTTTCCCCAGAAAGAAAATTTAAATTCTTTTTTTTTTGATAATTAGAGTCTTATCCCCTCCTAATTTTTATGGGCCATTTTATTTCTATAGCAAGTATAATGACACCTGATATTACAGATATACTGTAATATTATGCTTAGTATTATGAATAAAACAATCGAAATTTGAGCTTGTTAGTTCGTGACTTTTTATTTTTTTCCAAAATGAGCTGAAAGTGGTAGGCTCCAGCAAATATGGGGGAATATAAATTTAAAGAGTGCCAGAATTTTCATATCCAAATTTTTAAAAAATGGTAGTTTCCTTTTAGCAAATAAGTTGTTTGAGAAACCAGAATGAAATAGACAATTTTCTTTTGCAATTTTGCAAAATTTCAAATTTAGAACAAAGTAGAAAGAAAAAGGAGAATTCTCATCTTCGCATCATACAGAAACAACTATTATGAATAATTTGATGTATTTGCTTCTGTTCAGTTCATTTTGTTTTTCTGGAGGAGTAGGTAAGAAAAGGATTATTTTTGGAAAAAAAATTAAGTAGTATATATACAACTCGTTTGTTTATTTTATTGTGTTGCTTCTTTTTATTGTAAATATTCTCAAGCTCTGAAAAAGTTAAAAGAATATGAATACCTGGATAGGCACCATTTACATTTACCTATTATAACTTTTTAATGTATTTCTTCTATCCGTATGCATATGTGGGGATATTTTCCAATTTATTTATTTATTTATTGGCTAACCCATTTACAAGTAAGTTATAGAAATGATCACCTCACCTCTAAAAAAATTCAGCACCTGTCTCCTAAGATGACTGATTTTTCTACCTAAACACACTTCCTTTTTGATACTTAAGGAAACCAACAAAAAATAGCTTGTCACTTTTGTAAGAGGAAGATATCAGTGTGGAATGAGGCCAAATGTAATTGTCAGGTAAAACACATTATTTAAAGACATAAATATATTGGAATAGACTTCTGGGCTCTTATGTCAAACTTCAAACATTCTTCATATATTTAAATAGTAATTACAGCAAAAATCCATACTCTTAATAGATTAAAGTCTTTCAACTTTAAAAAAAAAAGATTTTTACGACATTTAGAGATTTTTACCGCAATGCTTCAATTTTGTTTCTAAAAATGTTATTTCACTGCCACTGATCTGGCAGTGAGGTAAAAAGAAGTTGTTATTTACAAATTTCTGACTTTTCAAATGGTCTTTGGACCATTGGTCTTTTGGAGAAAGACCAATACAGGTATCAGAACTAAAATATTCTTTTTTCTTGGATTCTTTCCTTCATTTACAAAGTTTCAAATTTGACTTTTACTTTAGAAGAAGGAATACAAATGACAGGCAGTATACTGAAAACATGGACCTGACATAGCCCCACTCCTGGCTTAAACAGAATAAATAGCAGCAAATGCCCTCCCTGACTTGGCATAGTCCTTATTCTGAGGAGCAACGTTGACCCCTGAACTTTATATTTTCCTCTTTCATGAATTAGGAAGGCAATGGAAGCCTATGTCCACTCGTACATAGTCCTAAACCTATTATAACTGAGACGAGAGATCATGCTTTATGACATGATTTAGATCACCTTCATTAAATAATTTTTTAAAATTATTGATATTGTCATTGAGGATAAAATGCATCATCACCAAACGTGAACTTTGGTGTCCTTTACAATAGCAGATGTAGTCATGGGCAACATGTGCAAATGATATTCACATTTGGGCTGTATTTGTGCAAATGATATTCACATTTGGGCTGTATTTGAAAACCATAAACTCTGCTGTTTTCATGCCAGCAGTTGCAATGTGTGCAAATACAAACCAGCCCTGCTGATACACATCTTCAGGTCTCCTCAGTCATAGCATTCATCCTGTTCTGTGTCATGCTCATGTGCGTAACTTTCTATGCTCGTCTTCACTTAATAGTGATTAACTAACGCTTTGAAATCAAAATAAACTTTTTTAAGTTCTTCCCGAAATCATTGAGGAATGTTTTTCTATTGGTTTTGTAACGCTACGCTTGCAATCACTGAGAAAATGATTAAGGATTCTTCTGGACTGCAGTTAATCTCCAAACAGATTTGGAACGAGCTGAGTGTGCGGTGTTGGATGTGACACTTCAAGTAAGCTGTTGCCATAAACTCAAATGACTGTCATTTCTTCTATAGTATTTGTGCGTAGCGTAATATGATTTGATAGCATCGATACTGGTGGAATGGAGATGTCACTGATCTCTGCTTATAAATCTTGACATCCTCCATGTTTTTACAGATAAACTTATTTCAAATCATCCCTTCCATTGCAGCAGCCTAAATCTTGAATTGCTTTTCATTTATCCCATTTAAATCTTGACAGTTTATCAGAGTATGCATGTGAGAATCAGTAAAAGATGCAAGCATTGTTGGTATGTTTTGTTCTTATAACCTTGATCATTGATAACTGCACATATTGGATTTTTGTAAGCTTCAGGGTGACTAAGGAGGTATTTGGAGAACTTAGGAAAAGAGATTGTTGGAAGTGCTGCTAGAGTTCAGCAAACATATAAAGTTAAATGCAACCCACAGTTTTATTTAGCTCTTAAAATAGTCATTGTCTCAGAAGTATCTGTTGATTAGTTCACTAACTCGGCCAAATAAAGTGCTCATTCAAACCAGTTTAATTGACTGTTGCCTAAGTGTTAAGCTGTCTTAAAGTACTCATCACATAAAAGTGTTTTTAAATACCCCTGATCTGGAAGTCTGTTGGAACCAAAGGACTGGAAGCTGTGGGTGTGTGGGGATGGGTATACCAGCAGGAGGGAAAGACAGGGAGGCTGTGTGCTCAATCACAGCAACTGATGAGACCAGTAAGGATGAGAGATGCAGAGTTACAGGAAAGGAGGCAGACCGGAACCCAGGGTTGGCGGGCCAGCTCAAGAGACATTGAGCAGAGATGTGCAAGGATCTCCAAGGCAGCAAGATAAAGTGGAAATTGGGGAAGCGTTTCAGGAAAGGAGAGGTTGGAAGAAGAGTGAGTCTGAGGACAAGTTACTGAGACTTGTGAACAGGAAGCCCTGAATTATTGGAGTATCGAGCTTTAAGGAAAAAAAAAATTTGGTAATGAAGGAAAAAATATATATATATATATATATATATATATATATATTGACCATAATATTTTGATAAAACTGAATTATACTTATCCACATGCACGTACACATACAGTTGACCTTTGCACAACTCAAGGGTTGGGGTGCTGACACCCCACTCAGTCAAAAACTAAATCTAACTTTTGACTCGCCCAAAACTTAACTACTAATAGCCTAGTGTTAACTGGAAGACTTTGCAATAATGTACACAGTTGATCAACACGTATTTGCCATGTTCTATGTATTTTATTCTGTAGTCTTACATTCAGGTAAGCTAGAAAAAAGAAAATGTTATTAAGGAAACCATAAAGAAGAGAAAATCTATTTACTGTTCATGACATGGAAGTGGATCAGTGTAAAGGTCTTCATCTCTATTGTCTTCACATTGCGTTGGCTGAGAATGAGGAGGAGGAAGTGGAGGGATTGGTCTTACTGCCTCAGGGGTGGCAGAAGCAGAAAAAACTCCAGGTATTATAAGTGGATGCATGCAGTTCAAGGCCATGTTGTTCAAGGGTCAGGCCAACTGTGTTTATATAAACACCTGTGTGCATTTCAGGGCTGCCTGTGTTATAAATGGCGCAGTGGCATTTACAGCATTTCAGACACTTGCTCCAAGTCACAGAACTGGCTGATGGCCCGGTAGGGACATTTTCTAGATTGTCTGAATATCCATCTAGGGAGCCTTCAACTACACTAAGTCTTTTATGAGTATGGTGTATTGTAGATCCTTTTACAGAAAAAATCCAAGCAGTTCATCCTCGATGCTGGGTAAGGGAGATGATATTCATTGATATTAATGATGCTAATGATACTCGTTGATACTCAGTAGCATTTGGGAAGCAGGGATGTAAGTGCAGGAAGACCTAGGTATGCACTGGGAGGAGTTGAGGGGAGTTTTCTATTGAAAATATTTCTGAATATTTTCAACTTCTTCTAATTGCTCTCAAGGTGAATAACCTTATATGCATGGACAAAGGCTAGTTTCCAATGGAGGTTGGGCTGCTAAAAGGAAAGTGATTCCTTCCAGATAGAGCTGCTCCTATGTTTGAAAACTTGAGGTTTAGTTGGGATCAGCTGGCTGGGAATTTCCTTGGAGTGCCAAGTGGCTTAACAGATCAGAATTCCATTCACAGCAGGATGGTGTTGATATTTGATTTCTTCTAGCCCTGGCTGTTGTGTTTATCTACCTTGTCTTTGCCTCTTGAAGACTGTACACTGCTTTCCTGAAATGAGTGGCGAACATACACAATTGGTTTATTGCTTCAAGTAATTCCTGACGATCATCTCACCCACTGCTGTGTGTCTAGGTCCTTCACTAGGATTTGCATTTCCATTATGCTTTATCTGTGCCATCTTGCTAATAATGATATGAATTTGGGTAAAAACGTTTCATCAATGTGTAAATAGGGTAATTCCTCATGACTACCAGTTTCTGGCTCATGTCTTGAAGCTTCATACAAATAATGACCACCCTTGCTTTACCATCTTCAGTAGCAGGCACTGTGCAAAGTGTTCACAGATATGTTTCCATAATTGTCATCTCAACTATGATTGTGGGAGGTATTCCTTGAGGATCCCTGTCCCCTTTCTTAGGAAGCCCTTCCATTGACCCTTTGTCACACTCTTCAAGCCTTCTACACACCCCAGCTCCATCCCCACTTCCATAAATTCAAAGCTTGACCATAAGAAAATGTCCATTCACAGGGAGCATTTCCGCATGATCTATTACTTTCAAAGCAGAACTTTCACTCAA